TCCAAGCTGAAAATAAATTTGAATGTAGGCCATGGAGAGCGACAGCGCTCTGAAACCATCGATTTTCTTAATTTTCATACGAAAATTGGCACAGAATGACATTCTTGGCGATATTTATTACGACGGGTTATATCAAATGAAGTGAGTCATAAATCTTGTTGATTTAAACTTGACAATTCCATCGATGCTGTTCCATTGTTTACGATAAGAGCTTAGCTTCGGGTGGCTTCGCACAGCATCATACACCACTCAAACCTGGTAAAAGTTGAGGAGAGCTTAGCATAAGAACACTGTTTAAACATTGAACAAAAATCAAAGCACTAAGAATTTAAGTCTAAACGAAGCCATTCCGTTTTTGTCTGCTGATTCTTTTGTTCGCTTCGCCCAGCCAAACGCTCTTTATTTTCGATTAAAACGTATGATTAATTGACATGCGATGAGAGCATTTGATTTGGTTCGTCTCTAGACGGTTCCATTTCGACCTCGACTTTTTGAACTTTGTCACCAAATCGCAATCGATCTAAACCTAAGTAGGCATGGTGTAATGATAAATTAAATACCGTCTCCTTCATCTCTGTGTTATCTCGATGTGAATTTATGTGTAGCACCGAAATGCACCTAGACTGGCACACCGAATTCAATATACACGTTCATAGCATTTTTTTCTTATTTTTCTTATTTATCTAAAAAAAACACTTTTTTCCACTTTCAACTATATTTTCCGATCCTCTGATTATATCTTGCAATGTTCTTTATTTGGATGTCTATTTATATGTGTCTCAATGTTGTTATATCTCTGTGTCTATTTTTATTTTTTTTCATCTATTTGTTGATTTTATTTGGAAAGATAAAAATATTTTTCATTTGTTTCAACAATTCAACTTAAATTCTAATATTTCTTGAATATTTTCCATCTTTTCTCCTTCTCTTCTTTGGCAAATGCCTTTTTCATCTTTCTTTTTTGTTCCTGGCTACTACTTTTCTTTTCGTGTGAATTTCTTTTTCACACCTACACGCTTGGATTTAAATGGCCCAATTGGGATGGCGCACACATGAAGGGCATTGCGATCGGATTTGCAGTTGTTGCGTCGGAAAGGTGCGATTAAGGTTGGTGGTTCGTTAGATAGGCCAATTATCGATTCAAAATCTGCGTGTGCCCGCTGCTGCCTTGTCTTTGGGTACATTAATCGAGGAGCCGAGTGTAATTTGTGCCATTTACGTGTGTGCAGAGAGTGTCGAATCGACGTATCATTCTCCAAAAACGATTGGGTTTGCATCATTTGTTACAAAGAAATGTGAGTTTTACCAATGCCAACCACACGCACACGCACACACAGTTCACTCCCTATCTCTGTCTGGCTGGCTGTGTGTGTATAAACGTTTGCTTCTACGTGCATCTTTATTTCAATTTTATCTTGGTGTCGTAATTAGTCGTTGTTGATCCCCTTTTGTGTGCTTTTCAATCTCTGTTGAATAGTGCATACTGTTCTTTGTTCGGTTTTCTTTGGTTCTCGTTAGATAGAAAATCGGTGTTTTCCATCGGAGCAGACTCGTTATAGATCTCAGCTGGAAATGATGGGATTTTTTTTTGAATGAAAGTTATATGCTTTTTATTGAATTCGAAATAAATATGACCATGGAAACCGACTGCTATTTGCGAGCAGACTTTTAGAATGGTCGATTTCATTTTCGTTTTGCCCATCAAGACCGTCTAGTTAAAACTTTTCCGTCGAAAATTAAAAGAAAAAATCATTTGAAAAGAATCTCGTGAAGTTGAAAAAAAACTCTCGTGGATTTTCTTTGCATCAATATATTTGGATTGTCACATTAAACACAATCCCCGATAAGGCGAATCATAAAAAAGCAGGTTGGATGACCGTTCATCGTACAATTGACGTAATCAAGCGGATCGTTTTGCTAATGCAATGCGCATTTTAGATACGATAATTTACATTCACGATTTAGCGAATGCAATGAATGCTCTGGAATTGTTAAGCACTTTACATTAACCGAAATCGCTATTCGATAGTTAGATAGCACTTGGTTTAATCGAGTGTTCTGCTCATGATGATAACGAATAATCGATAACAATTACACACTTGCCAATGGAACCAATTTTAGATGTAATTTCAACATGTATCTCATGATAATGGTATTGCGGGATTCATGTAATTAAAATGGTGGAAGGTCATTTTCCAAAAATAGTTGCACATTCAATAACACTTGATACCATTGTTTGTAATGAACTTACGCTCATGAAAAATGGGATTGAAACGATAAGATTTATGGATGATTGTGTATTATTATTTTTACTTTTCTCCGGTTCCAGGTGGCTGTTATCAGAATTAAGCTTAGAGCTCTGCGTAATTAGTAATCATCGCGGCCGAAAACAGATTGAATTAGAATCCCATTATTGTCAAAATGTCATCCGAAGGCGTATCGCTGGGAAACCTTAATACATTTACACTTTCAGTGAAAGCAACACGCGTAATTAACACTAAAAGCGTGGATGAGATGATAAAGGTTTGGCAGATGACTAAAAGACGAAACGAGGCATTCTTAGTACTGGGCGAAGGTAGTAATGTGTTGTTTACCGAAGATTTTGTCGGCACTGTGATGATTAATGGGTTGAAAGGTGTGAAGATTAGAGAAGATGGTGATGCTTGGCGTTTGCATGTTGGCGCTGGTGAAAATTGGCATCAATTGGTCAAACAGACGTTAACTAGTCAAATGGGAGGTTTAGAAAATTTAGCATTAATCCCTGGCTGTGTTGGTGCAGCGCCAATCCAAAATATCGGAGCTTATGGCGTTGAATTCAGAGAGCGATGCGAATACGTCGATGTGCTTAATCTCAGCAATGGCATCGTTCAACGCATTCAAAATGCGGAATGTGAATTCGGATATCGTGATAGTATCTTCAAACGGGCTTACAAAACAGGCTATGTTGTAGTCGGTGTTGGACTTCGTTTAAAGAAACAATGGCAACCAGTTCTAAGCTACGGGGATTTATCCAAATATGATGCTAATACTGTAACACCTCGACAGGTGTTTGAATCCGTTTGTAATATGCGCCGTAGTAAATTGCCAGATCCAAAAACCATGGGTAATGCTGGCAGTTTCTTCAAAAATCCCGTCGTTAGCAAAGCGATAGCTGAATATTTGGTTCAGAAATACCCTAAAATGCCACAATACCCGCAAGCAAATGGAGATGTAAAATTGGCAGCCGGATGGTTGATTGATCGATGCAAATTGAAAGGTTTCCGCATCGGTGGTGCGGCAGTGCATCAAAATCAAGCACTTGTTTTGGTCAACCTTGGAAATGCGACGAGCAAGGACGTTGTGGCATTGGCGCGTCATGTATGTCAAAATGTAGCTCAAGAATTTAATATTTGGCTTGAGCCCGAAGTTCGTTTCATTGGTGCCCACGGCGAAATCAATCCAATGGACATAGCAGCATGACTGATACCAAATTGCATATACCATTGGGTGGCGGTTCGTTATTTTAGGTGAAGCGACCATCTTAATAATGCTCTTGTTTCCACATCGTTGAATATTAAAATGCAAATGGACATTTCATCTAAAGGATTCCATTTGTTCTGTATCTCTCATATTCTCTCTGTCTCTCCTTCGTTCTCTCTCCATGTCGAATGAAAACCTCTCGTCTGCAATTCACTTGTTACTGTCATATTTATCAACCCGACTTTTTCTTCTGCAGAGTCACTCAGTTCCAACTAGATGCAAAACAAAATAGTCTATATATTTGCATTTCCGTGATGAAGACATTTCACTGCCACATGAAATGTCTCTTCTATACATTCCATGAATTTTGTGATTGACTCATAAAAGGAGTATATGTACGTTCTTTTCATTTTCTTATCGTCGCTCCACATTTCCTCGGTTTATGGGCATTTTGTTGTCAGTGCGCCCTCATTTTCATAAGGAATATGCTTCATTTGAACATATGAAATGCTTTCTTCGCTTTTGTGTGTGTGTGTGTTTGTTTACTTTACGTCTGCAAATTGAAATTTCCGAGAAGTTCATTTTAAATATAACCATTCAAACGACCCTGAAAGAAAAACCTAGCTAACGACAATTTTATGTGCTTAATATTTGCTGCTGCTTGAATATGAAACATGGTTACAGTCATAAAGTAGTAAATTGAATGTATTGTTCATTATTTACGATACGCGCATATATTCACACACACACACAAGTAAAATCGAGAGCCATGAGAAGGGGCTCCACTGCGAGCTCATGGGAAAAGCAGTAAATATTCCAAAAAGATGCATTAAAACCAGAGTTTTACGGATCATAATGTTGTTGTGGGTGCGCACGAGCATACCACTCAATAAAAATTATTCGACATAAAAACCTTCCAAGAAATCTGATAACATTGCAACTGAGGGAAATATCAAATAAAATTTTCCTCTAGAATTAATGGTAAATTTCTGTTAACTCATAAATGGAACAATGTATGATGATTGGTGGAGCAAACCAAAGAACATTGCTTAATTTTTATCCCACATCCTACACGTTGCGCTGGTTGTTTCCGCCTTTTCCACACAAGAAAATGATTATTTGCATTTGGATTATGAATATAGATTTTGTGGTCGACGGGATATCAATAGGAACAACCTACTTTTATACATAATTTCATCTAAAATGAATCAATTCTGATTGTTTGTATTCGAATATGTAACAAGATATCATTTGCGTCATCCCTCTATTGCGTTCTGTTTTCAGCACGCGTTTGCCTACGACGATGCCGTCGCAGATACGCTGCACATTTTGTGCCACATTTTTACTATTTATAAACGACGGCGAATGGTTGAATGTGGCCTTTCATTGAATAATTCGAGAGACGATGTAGACATCCAAAATTAGGGTTGAATGTAGTTACCATTTGTAAAGCATTCCATTGAATTCCAATTGATGTGAATGGATTTAATTGAGATTTTGACAAAGTAATCATGTTTTTTCTGCTCTTTTCGTTCGTTTAGGGAATTGAAAGCGGCCAGCGGTGAGTGGATAAGTGATATCTCACGGGAAGTACAGCGTAGTGAATCACATTCAAATGAGTATTTATCGGCATCGGAAATAATTCGAAAAAGCATTAGACGGTCGTGGACTATTTCAAGTAAGCCAAAATTTCATATCATTTATCAGAGAGTCTCTCTGGCAGCGTGTTTCTCTCACATTGCTATAATACTGATCAAATCGATTTTCGTTTCAAATGACAACGAAAAAACATAGATTCGCATCAAGTATACAATAATCAATCGAATGTCAATCGAAATGGAGGTGTTGGAGAATCGCAACGTGCATTCATCTCGGCCCCAGTGAATTCATGCGATTCAAACGAATACAATTACACGACGAACAATCGAACGAATCATATCGTAAATCATTTACAATATCCGAACATGGACTATCAAAATAATGAGTACTATGAACGAACATCGCCACAGCGACGTGTGCTTCGGCAATCGACGTTGCCCACCAATTTACCGCATCCGGATCAATATCAATATCAAAATAATATGAATTTAATGCCACCTGTGTCACCGAATAATCAACAGATCAGCCCACAGTACAGTCCGTACAATACGGACACCGAGGACACAATGGATGCATCAAATCCGGATTTGCGATCGATTCGATATCCAATTCGACGACAATCAACATTACCAAGTCGGCCAGATCTGTACCAGCAACAACAGCAACAACAACAACAGGGTCAATATTATTTATCAACGTCTCCAAACCGTAACTATAGCCGATCACCCGAAAAGTCTGAAACGGAACAGCAGCATCGCTATCCGCCACCATTTGTACGACAATCAACATTCCCCTCAAACACATCCAATGAACAACAGCAACAGTTCGCAAATGTGACACATCGCCCTAAAATGCTGCCTTCGTCACCCAATCGCCTCAATTACAATCGATCACCGGAGCACGGCAGCGAACCCGATTTTCAGAAGCAACGGCATCTCGGTGTCGTTCGTCAAAATACACTTCCCAATCCAGATCAACATTTGAAATTGCTACCAACATCGCCGCCAAAACGTCAACTATCGCCACAGTATAAAAAGCGGTCACCAGAAATGATTCGACAAAGTACGCTCCCATGCAATCCAGACAATTCGCTCAACGTTCCACAGCAGGCGAAATTTCTTCCAATTTCACCGCGCATGAAGCAAAGCTTTTTATTTCCACAGTCAAAACAGAATCCGCGGCAATTTTTATCGCAACAAAATGTGCCCACCGTCACCGATGATCCATATTCGAGCACGGGCAGCGTGAGTTGTATACCACGCGAGCAACAAGTCAAAATGATGAAAGTACGAAGCCATAGCAACGAAGAATACAGTGCAAGTCGAGCATTAGCAGTTACAGAAGGCCGCCGTTTGTTGCCCGAAATCCCACGAAATCGATCTCGATCGCCAAGGTGAGAGAGTGTTTTTCAAAATAATTATTTCGCCCGGAAAATGTGTGACTTTCATCACGTTGACTAATGATTTTCTTACTTTTCTTTCTCTCTGTGTCGGTTTCAGTCGTTTGGTGCGTCAAGACAATGTCAAAGAGGACATACGAATAAATGACCAAAGGTCACCAAACAAGCGAACTTTTAACGAAGCCAAGCAAATTTTGTCCGAGTACGATGACATGAATCAAATGAATGCATACAACGAGGGGATGTACAATAGCGATAACACTTTTCTCGAGGCCGACGAAGATGACTCATTCGATATACAACAGCAGCAGCAGCAGCAGCAGCAGCAGCAACAACAACAACAACAACAACTACAATACCAACCGAATTATTACAGCTCAAGTGATCCGAAATTACAATACGATGACGATGAATTTGCCCATAATGCGATGAGGCATAATATGGAAAATTACATGGGTGAACCGCAATACAGTCCACCCGAAGAAAATTCGTGGTATGGACGCAAAGAACGGCCACATCGTCGGTGTTCACGTGAATTTGCTGATAATGAGGTAATGGTCCCGATGAATGAGGCCACCGGCGCCGTCGTCGTCGATGATCAACGTCGTCATAAGCCCGAAGCAATGCGTTCCATTTCGGAAGATACACCAACGCGTACAGCAAAACAAGCGGTAACTAGAAGAACACTATCCCACCCAGAAAAAGAATCACATTCACAGGTAGCAAGCACCATCTATTATTATCTATTAATCACATCTTGTAGTGCGTAGACACCTTTCGTGGAACTCATATCACGTGATTGGTTAATTGCTTCTTTTTCCTCTGTGTTTCTCCGTGTGTGTATATTTGTAATTGATTTTAATTACAGAGTCCGAAGCGAAATGATCAACCGAAAATACCTAGCCCAAAGCAGTTGACTGACGTCATGGAACGCTCGAAAAAGCCCACGAAAATCCCATCGCCACGTCGAAAAAATTATAAATCCATCGATATTCCGGATATATCACCTCCCGGTAAATAATCAATTCCATGAATCATGACTAAAGAGCAATAGAAAAAACGGAATGGTAGAACAACAGATACCGATACCAATTAACATCCATCGTATTCGCTACTGCGATTTTTTGAATGATTTTTCCACTTCACCGTTCGATGCATCAATATTTTTTGCGATTTTAAATTCGAATATATATTTTTTCCATGAAAGTTTTTCTCGTGAAAATGCGCTTAAAATAACGATTTACAACACTGATATTTTGATCGGGAACAGACCTTGAGCACAACAGTCATTTGACTGTTGAAGCTGTGCATCTGAAATTGGATTCGTTTAATAAGAGCGTGTTGCAGATGACAAGGCAACCGACCGCTATGTTCTGTATTATGTTTTTCGCAGAAAGCTTTTCAGTATGTTCGAAGAAAAAAATAGAGCGACAGCAACCACCGCCGACGTGACGGTAATGAAACTCAATTTGGTTTCAAAAGAACTTTTCACCATGAAAATTCAAAACCGTTGCACAAAAGGCGTCCGGTTTCAATGAGTTTCATGGAGCATCTGTCTGTGAGCGTGTGGAACTGTTGCTCTATATATGTTTGTGCCTTTGTCTTTCTTCTGCTCGCATTGAAAATGAAAATTTCAATGTTAACGAGACTATGCATTCCATCGAGTGTTTGCATTCAACGCGTCGTAATTGGTGCTGTGTGTATGTGTATGTCTCATTTTCGCTGGAAGCGTTCACAGGAAAGAAGTCGATAACAGAAAAAAATATACCCATGACAACAGCAACAACAAGTGTTTGCCAAGAATAAAATCTTCACGGTGTTGCTAACGGACTGCGATCCCCTACAATTTTATGCTTGCAGAATGTTGAAGCAAGAAAAAACCATCTCTATGAAAATAAAAAAAACTACAGGGAAAAAACGAACAACGAAAACGACAAGAGCTCAATGTTATGGCCAAACAATAATTACGAAATGCGCTCGCTCAGTAACATGTTTTTAGTGTGCAAAATCGTGTTGCAAACGTTTTCCCAACATCTCATTTAGATGCTAAAAATAGCACCAGCACAAGGATCACACGTCCTATTTTCGAAGTACGTTTCATTGTCGATTCGATTGTGTGTGTGTGTGTGCGCGTGCTTAACGGGCGCTGATGCTCACTCATGGGCTCCAACTATACAACCAAGCAATCGTATCACGCTGGAAACTACACTATGTGTGCGCACTATGCGCCCCATTTATATATCGAATTCAAATCCACCTGAATTATGAGTTTTATGTTCGAACCAAATTCATTTCTTTTTTTTTTGCACTACCTGCCGATCCGATATGTCTGTTATTGGTATCACTGAAATTAGGTTGTTAATTTCAAGCGGACGCAGCTCAATTCAATTGAATTTGTTGCGTCGTATTTCCGGCACAGTATCCGTTTCCATTACACCACATCGAATACGTTTTCTTCATTCTTAGTTGTGTTTACTTGAAATGTCCTTAACAGATTTGATTGATGTTTCGCACAGGTAACCATCATTTGCACATGCAAAAACGTGATTCGAAAAGTTTGGATAGTGGAGCGCTGTATCGACCGGATCTTGATGGAGATAGCAACGGAACCTCAAGCATGGAACGAATCGAGCGAATTGAACGAACAGATCGAAGCGATAGTAAAATTATGTTACCGACGCCACCAGTTCGAAAATCACCAGCAGCCCAGGTAGCGGCGTCTGCGACGTCGACGTCCACAGGTGGGGTACTAACGGCAAATCAAATAGAGGACCACAGTAGTAATACGAGCACCGATCGAAATAAAACCAACGCTGGCATTGGTCTGAGCGACAACAACAAAGATGAATCCGAGCAAAAGTCCAGCGATCCGACAGCCGAGGTATTAAAAATGAATAAAATACTAAAACCATCCACCCCTCCCCACATAAACACATAAATGACAATTGCGACAACAAAGTTGACTTTTTATCGATCCCTTTTATGTTGTTCATTCAATGATAATGCCGTTCCATTTCGTTTTATTCTATTCATTCGTTCGCAGTCTCTCTCCCACACTCTCGCTTCATTTTATTTTCGGGTTCGAATTATTTGTTTCTCATTTTGCCACAAATTATTCGAATGAAACGAAGAGTTCGACAAAGTTGTACCCCATAAAATATATTCCGTGTGAGACAGAGTAAAAGGTCTTGTTTTCAAATTTCTTTTTTGCCGTTGTTGTTCTTCTCTATGTGCATTTTTTTTCTTGTTCGACGTTAAAAGTAACTTTACGCATTAACTCAACAGAATTCACGTATAGTCTTCAATTTATAGTACATAAACTGTACTCGAACATCTGGCATAATACGCTTTTCACAAATACTCACTCTGCCAGCCCCTCTTCGTCTGCAAAATTTTTCCATCGACTTTATTTATCATTGTTCTGTGGACGGAGAATGGCGACGGTGGTAGGTGGATGTGATGATGCTACATACACATTCGGAACAAAGTCAAACTTGTTGAGTCTTTTGGCAGCTTTGAGTTTTTACTTTTCTCCTTTACCATTCATTGTGCTAATGCAATTGGATTCCATTCGTGTTTCGTTTTTTTTCTTCTTCTTTCTCAACAGCACAAAACTACATTGGGCGAAGCTGAAATACAAAGTGCTGTCGAAGCAGCTGCGGTTATATTCAAGAAAGTTGTTTTGCAACGACGTCAAGCTGCCAAAAAAGCCAACGAAGAAGGTAAGTTGATTTTTCGACTATTTATTTTCATTGTAAACATGTGGGAATGAGATGTAGAAGAAAAATAAGCAATGCAATCGAAGTGGAATAAAAAAAGAATAGAACCAAATGCGCAAATACAAAGTGTTTATAGCATTTACTTGATTGGGTCGACACCTAATACATAATTTGTTGATAAATTCTTCGTTACATTTGACTCAAATGTCAAAAACAATGTGGCAAAAAATGAAAGAAGCTTTTGTTTGAAACGATTCCAGCAAATAGAGAATTCCATGAACATGAAATATTCGGGTATAATGAGAGTATTCCAAGGAGGCTTGTAATTGAAGTGAATTCTCCGTGCAATGCATTCATGCATTCATACTGTTAAACTACATTCTAAAGTCGGCTTATCAAAGTAGACTATAAAATCAATAAATAATAATAATAATTCTCACCAGCGAGGATTTTTTGCTCTTGTTTGTTTCACGGTATCATTATCTTCGCATTTTGTAGTACATTGTAGCTTTCCCATTTTGCTTTCACCTTTGGTGGTACCGTGCCGTAAGCTGCAATTCACAACAATGTACGTATACATTTCTATTCCTGGGACATAAGAGAACGTATGTTTTTTTTCAGTTTTGAATATTTGAAAAGGAAAGTATGTTTTCGATCGATTTTGTCTGAGTAAAAGAGAAGTATGTTTGATGGCAACTAAAAATGGTTAAAAGAATTTATGTATTTTGAATGGTAGCGTTAGCGAAAAAAGAATGTATGTTTATAGTCAAGTAAATTTTGCAAAAAGAATGCATGTTGTTCTATCTATTCAGTTAATAATAAAGATAAGCATGTTCTCATACATTTATATTGTCAAAAAAGAAAGTATGTTGGCTAAAATAGTGTAAATAATCAAATTTATTCCGACCGCATGGAACAGGAATTCATAAACCTTAACACAGTCGGACAAGCGAATGACCAATATATTTGTTGTCACACACGACGGCATGAGTGCGTCGCAGTGAATGAATCGAGTGGAGTAACATGCGCACCCGATAAAACACGTATCTCCTGTCCACTTCATTCATAACCGCGGAATAAATTTAATTATCTATACTATTTTAGCCAACATACTTTCTTCTTTGACAATATAAATGTATGAGAACATGCTTCTCTTTATTATTAACTGAATAGATAGAACAACATGCATTCTTTTTGCAAAATTTACTTGACCATAAACATGCATTCTTTTTTCGCAAACGCTACCATTCAAAATACATACATTCTTTTAACCATTTTTAGTTGCCATCAAACATACTTCTCTTTATTGCTACGCAGTTGGACAAACTTGCGTTCTTTTACGTCTCACCAATAGATTTGATTAAGGGTTTTTTTCTCGTCTACTTGGCATCTGCAATTTGAGAATATTCTCGACATGTACTTCAGAGCTTAAATGGAAGCTTGTTGCACAAACGGTGTGTGTATTTCATCAAGTTTATCAAGCTCTTTCCAAGTTTATGCATAGTGTCGAACTTTTGTTCAAGCTCTACCATCTAAATGTACAGTAAAATAATTTACGGGCGCGACGTAAGATGGCGTTTTTTCTGGTCAAAAAAGTTGCAATATCCCTTTGGATGCGAGTGAAGAACAAAAGCAGTTAACCGGTGATTGTTTGATAACAAGTGTTCTTCGGGTGAATTATTTTGGTTTGTCGAGGTGTAACGTACGATAACGAAAATTATATTGTGTCTATTGTTACCGTGCACATTTCGAATACGTAACACGCTACATTCTCGACACACGAGCCAGAACCAGCGAGAGACGGATACACAGGGAGAGAGTGGGAGATTCTTTGCATTGATTTTACGGATTTTAGTGTTTATTATGTAATTAGATAAATGTCGGGTGATAACGACAAATTAACAACGTCATCATCTCAGCCGCTTTATTTGACTTAGTGCCCATGATTATCATCGGGCACATCATCAAATAACATCGCATTCACATTTTCATTGCGTAAATACAACACAGTGGCATCAAACAACACAATGCAGCGCAATCGACGTAGGGAACATACACAGTCCCCTTCCCCGAAAATTGAAGTTAAACTTTTCCATTAGATCCAACCTCACTATCACCGACTACACATCTAATGCGTTTGTATAACAGAAAATGCCTGTTCATTTCACCAAATACATGCGTCTGCTTTCTGAATATGACTTTATATGAGTTGCTTACAAACTACGCTTTTAAAGCTTGCTAGCAACAGTGTGTGCTGGATCCAAGCAAATGCGTTTTCATTATCCTTGGCATTTTCATTGAAATAATAATAATCAAATGATACGCTTGAAGCTGCTCTGCGGTTGCTATGCTATGCGAGAAAAAACTACAAAGTTGCTTAAAAACAAAAGAACCCAAAATGAAATTCCTTCATTTGATCAAAAATGCTTTTAACTCTTTAGTATTCAAAGGCAGTTTTTGCATGAACCCCGCATATTTCAAAAACAAAGCAACGAAACAACGTTGAAATTAATACAATCAAAACGTAATGCTATATTGAATCACTTGAAAAAATTTTGTATTCATGAAAGCTATGTATGGTATTTCACTTTTAATCTGTGTAGAATGAAGCACATATTATGTTTTTCAAGAGCCATTTCTCGCATGGTCATCTTCAAAGAGAGGCTCTCACTTTTGAATATCTTGTTCATTGTCTGTGTATATGTGTATGTGCTGTTACCACTATCCGTCGACAGTTTGTGATGGCACTTGGCCTCACATCCATTACCGACTGGAAAATGAAAGAAAGAAGCGACAAAAACAGAGAGACCAAGAAGCCACACAATACATACTAATCGCACAAAAAACTACATCCAAATAAAAACCGACGAGCGAAGAGAGGCGGAGAGAGGGAGAGAGTGAGAGACAAAACCACAATAAATATCTTGGGTGTACTTTTTGTAATGAATATTATTCCATTAGATGTTTATGTGCCGGAGTTGAACATTGCCATTTTTGTGTGTTTGTATTAACAATTACATTAAAGCTGTTGGCTCTCAGTCTCTGTCTCGCTCTTGCTCTTGTCTTGGATCGATCGGTTGTTGTTTGTCGTGGACTTTTCGGTTTGGAACAATGTGTGCACATTTTGCTTGTTGTTTAGGCAAACGTACGTGACTTCGATCCATACACTTAATAATATTTTGTGTGTCTGTGCTTGTCGAGTGCTTCATCATCATCATGTGCTGCAAAAATCAAGACCATGAAAGTGAGATACACATGGAGAGAGAGAGAGAATGGAAGACTAAAACATTATTGAGCATATTGTTCGCTGTTGATTCAATCCTGTATGTGTGTATAAGTTCTTTATCATCATCAGAGTTGGGCTTTAGCTCCGTGTGAGCTGTGCGCGGTTCGAGTATGCGACAATGTGGCTATGATAAATACCAGCTTAATACTGGAAACGTGAACTCACGCGCCAGAGTGTTCGTCGTTGTAATGAAGTCTCTTGAAGTCAGAGTCACACAAAGAACTATCGCAAGTTTGTTGGGCAAAATTGTTTGTTGGGCAACAATAGCGAGAGGCAACAATATATAAATATTTAAATCGCAAAGACGCGAAACAGATCCATTATTAGAAAACTATTATAGACTCGATGCTCTTTCGTACACGAGCGTTAGTCTGTTTGAGTGAGTGTAAAATTGGCTTTTGTGTGCACTTCACTTCGCTTAGTGCTTAGCAAAGTTCGCTATGCTATGCCAAAAACTTCTCGTTCCCTCTCTACACTATCTCTCGCTCTATGTGTATGTACGTACTATGCCATGGCCGTTTGTGTGTATGTTTCAGCGTGAGTTCATTCTAGTTTGTGCGCTTGTTTGGCTGCTAAGCCATTTCTAAAACAAACCAAGCACACCAAATTGTGTTTGTGCTGTTTGCGGTTCAAGTGTGATTTTAATGCAGAATTTTGTGAGTTTTCATTGAAAATCATCGCAAATTCAACTTTGCAAAACGGATGGTGGCACTTTAATCAGTTTGTGTGGCATTGATGACAGAACTTTATTTGGAATTCAGCTTAACCTCTTAGCGGTAAAATACATCTCTATACGTAGTGCATAACACTTCATTTATTCCCAATTTGCAATTTAATGGAGTGCTTTGAAATTGAATTTCTGCAAGGCAAACGGAAGAGAGAGAAAAAATTAAGGAAAAATAAAATATCGGAATTGTGTATAAAATATGGCATCTGTGCGATTTGATAATGATTTGTCGATCGAAATAAATGAGGAATTGCATTCGCTTGACTTTAGCATAACCAGGAAATATACGCGTTGATGTGAAACGGTCATTTATACGGCTCATAAATTCGACCCGCTTATTTATTATTCGATTTAATTTGCTCCAATGTCGAATCAAACACATAACTTTGTAAAATATTTCGAACTCAAACCATGAACAACAGTGATTATTGTGAGTTAAATCGCGTGTAAATTCGATCAACACAAAAATGCATGGCAAAAAATTTTATGAACACAAAGTGCTTCGCATATTAGCAGTGCAAAAACACAGCAGTTTCAATAACTGAACAATCGATTTTGATAGTTTTTGCTCCTTTTGTTTTCTATTGTTGGTGCTTTTTTCATCGAAAACATTCCACAAAACTATGCAAACCAATATAAATTGTGCAGCGAATAAATCTGTCAGATACAATTGCAATAAAAGTCATTTTTCCACCGTGAAATTTGTGTGTGTATGTGTGTGTGTGTGTGTGTGTGTGTGAGCAAAAATAGCATTTTACTTCGTTTAGCTAAACAAATTTCTGTCATTTTCTGACTGGCTATTGTCTATTGAAATGCTCCCAACGGTCTTCGTCGGATATGAAGTTCCGACACAATGCGCACACCGAATGATCAAGATGAATCTCGTTTAGGGATTTTTACGATGCATTTCACATAGTTTAAAAATCGATTTAGTGCCAACGCAGTGTACGTAAAATGCGGGCGTATGTGTTCCAATTCATATTTTAGTGTGTTTTTTTTTCCATCTCGAGTCGATCGAAGAAGAGAAAAAAAAACAAGAATTAGTAATGCGGTCGAGTGAAGCAATCGACGAATAACAAATATCCTCCTACGTTCTGTACAGTGTACATATTGAATTTATGTGCGTTATATTATAAAATAGTGTGTCAAATGGAGACAAAAACGAAAATCAGCAATTGTTGTAATGTATCTCCACCACATTAAGTCGTTTCCAAACAACTCACAAAATGTCTTTATTGTTTGTCTGATCGATTTACAGATCCAAAATAAGAGAGACGACCAGAAAATAAAATGTGTGCGACCCAAACGACAATTGCTGTCGACAAACTTGAATATTGTCCAAATTAGAGAGATTGAAAATGTCGCAATATTCAATAAGACCATTTTCAAAGAGTTTTTTTTTTCTTTCTGTTCATTCATTGTGGAGAGGTTTTTTCTTCACTTTAATTGAAGTGCTATGTTTATTGTTCGTCTTAATTTGATTTGGCTTCGTATACGAAACGTGATGCTGTGGCATAACCTAAAAGATTTTGATTAGACTAGTTTTCTCTCATTGACACATTCCCTATTCGAAATCCGATTTCATATTCGCTCTACTCTACTCTGCTCAGCTCTGTTGTTCACAACCCAATCCATTTGGTTCAAACTTGTTTTGACTACGGCGTTTTTTCCTCTCTTCACTGTAAAAATCATTCAACTCAGTTTTTTTCTTCAAAAGTAGGAATATATATAGTTGAAATTGTTATTTCGAATTGCTGACACTATGCGCAGAGTGCTGCGAATCTATCGAAATGTTTTATTCATAGCACACAGCAATCATAACATAAGTACCGAACAATTATGTATGAATCGAACGATGAAGGTAAAAAAAAAGAATCGTGACTATCGATTTGCCAATTGATTCATTTGCAAGAGAGCGACGAGCATCGGAGATAGAAAAAGAAACACAGAGAGAAAAAGAGTGAGTGAATAGAGCGATGGGCTTCCGCACAGTGGAAGATAGAAACGTGATTACAGTGCATTTAAATGATTATAAGCGTAGGAATGGAGATTGTCCATAATAATTAAGCCCATATTATAAAAGAACCCATCTAATTATCTCGTCTACCGGCAACCACACTCGCAACAGATCGTTTCAATGAAGCTTCAACCAGCCGCTTAAGACAAAGGCACATGCAATGAATCCAAAAAGTGCTAAATCAGAATGGCTCAGTTCATTTCTCACAAAGGTGAACTTTGATAAAGTAATGTTTTTGTATGGGTATACCTTCCTATCCGCTTGTCTGTGTGTGTTGAGGAAACGGCCTCTTTTGTCGTCATCAACTTTCCCTCTCCAATTGACTACGGCTCTGCGTCTGTGCCTGTGCTTGTCATGTTTGATTCAGCATAAATGCCTTGCATTTATCAGAATATGCTGTCAGATCTTGGATTCTTTAATTATATTTTGCACGTTGGTGACATTTCTCTGTCGTCTTTAATCAACAACCGTGACAATGATTTTTACTTTAGCGCTCATTTTACCATCGTCGTGTGCATTCTTTCATTAGCCCATTCAATGTGAAATCATAAGATCGCATTTAATTCAGAAAATCTTCCCGGAAATTATACACTTTTTTCTATATGTTCCATGCCTATGCAGACAGTCTCATCATGACTTTCTGCCTACGAGTTACGTTCAGTTTTATTCGGTTGATGTTATCATGTAATTAGTTTAAATACAGTGTTACAACTTTGTTTGTTCAGATTCTTAAACGTTTCAAGACCTGGACAACACACGCACCGACAGCATTTCCATGCAATTATAAGTCTAATTCCTGCAGGCATGCAAAGATATCGAAGGGGAGAGAATATGAGACAACCGACCGTTTCGGTCGGACGAGCAATTTATGTTTTTGGAGCTCATTGAAGCAACAACAGTGGCGACTTTCACAGTGAAAACTTCGAACAACAATTTCCACTTTTGTTTGTGCTGAAAATTAGATAAAGAACGCAATATGTGCTTACTTTTATGTAAACTGTACTGAACATTTTCGACGAATAAACTTGGGTTTAATCCCAATGAGTGCGAAAAGCCAAGAACAACAACAAAATCTAAAAGCGACAACAACAAATTGGATACAATTCCGACGCAAACGATGCTCCCATATCGATTAATTGGCCAATGTATGTCATCGATTCAATGAGCTAAACCGTTCGGTACCGAGCATAATTAATGAAAGATTAAGTTTATTAATTGCCTTAAATTGAGTAAGCCGATTAAAGAGCACAATATGCCACTGAAAAGTGTGAGCGTAAATTGTGTCTCGTACACGACCACAGAAAACGCACTGCATTCGTTTTTTGGGGTCATTTGAAGGAAAATTCGAGCTAAATTTATTTATGATAATAGCAAATGGAAAGCATTGTTACTACGTACACACCATTCACCTACATTGAAATAATTGGATTTCATCGCACATTTGATTATTTATTATTTGGCGCGAGTGTGTGTGTGTGAGAGAGAGAGAGAGAGTCGCCATCAACATCTCATTAGTTGATGTTTGACCTGCAAATTAATGAATTGTTCGCAATAATATTACAAAGTTCGGCGGTGATTTCTCATTTTAAGTCACATCGGCATAGATGACATTGTTGCATTAATTATGAGAACGAATGGAAGAGAGCGTGCGAGTGAGCGAGCAAGCGAAAATCAATCGATTAGAAGATTTTACGAAGCAGAACTCACAACATCACATCAATTACCCTCGAGACAGAATCATGTTTTTCTCTCTCTCTTCTGTTGTTTGGCCTGGCTCTTAAGCTATTGGCTATCCAAACAAATTTATTTCTCGTATTATTTGCACGTTCACAATTTTTGTTTTCTTCATACAGACGATTGGCTTTTCTTTATTTGTCACCACTCACACTCCCGTTCTCTCCCACTTTATTTGCCAAGCCACACTTCCATCGCCAGACACAAATTTTCATTATGCGCACTCGCTGCGCTGCTGTAGTTGACTTATAATTCATTTTCTGTTTGTTTTTGTGTTCATTTTTTTTCCTCTTGATTTTTTCTTTGCATTGCGTTTATTTGCACAGCGTGTAACAATTTTCTTCTTCTATTCTCTCACCAAGTTTGTTCATAATTCATTTTATGTTTGTCCGATTTATTATTGTCGTTTTTATTTGATTTGATTTGATTTGATTTTTTTATATTATTTGTTTTTCCATTCTTTTTTTTTCCATTTTATGTTCGTTGGATCATTTGGCTTTTGTTTTGGCGTGTGGGGTCACACAGGCGAACGTGCACGTAATGTGTCCTTGATGCAGGACGATGTATCCGATTATGAAGGCTGTACGACATTAAAAATGATTTGCCCGGAAAGTGATGATTATAAATTGGTGTTTATCAGCTCAGACTCGTCGAGTTTGGATGATTTGGAGGACAGTAGTTCAACGTGCTCGTCAACCAATCGACACAGTATTTCGCTAGACGATTGTGATTGGGATTATTTTGAACCAAGTGCAGCCACCACGACAAAGACAATTTTCCGTGATTGTGCAATTCAATCGCCATTCGTGTCGCCCAATTTGCAGAGGCGTCGAACAAATGTCGCCGACATACACACAACCGACGAAGAATTCTTGGCTCAGCATAGCTCATCGCCAACGAGCAGCGATGGATTTGTTGATATTCGTCGGAAATTATCACGATTCAAACGTACTTTCCGGCATTCGGTGAACAAAAGTTCTTCATCGTGTTCAGGATCTCGATGCGATTGTGGTCATCAACCTCAGTACGTGCCAATCCCAGTGCCAGTGCCGATCTTTGTTATTGGCGACGATGCAAATAGCTCAGATGTGCGCGCATTACAGAAGAAACAAGCCGCTGAATTGTTTCAACTGTGGAATACGGCCGCCCCTGATCTTTTGCTCGCCCATCAACAACAGCAACGAAACCACATCGAATCGCATAGAAATATTGCCAGCGATTTCTTGAAGAATTATGCTACTCAAGTGGAAATGAGCAACACAACACCAACACATACATTGCCAACTGGCAATTGCAGCAGCAGCAGCATTGCATATGCAGACGCATCGTCGCGTAACCAAGAAAATGACACACAACAAGACGAAACAACACTTGCAAGTGGCAACCAGTCGACTAGTAGCAGCAGCAGCAACGATTGCAATAAGCACACAAACACCAGCCACAATACATGTATATCGACGCATAACGATCGCACAGAACAAATGAACAGTCTCAGTACCGGACCAACTGTCGATCTAAGCATACCGACGATAAATGCACGCATCACCATCGATACCGACCAAAACTTGAATCATTTAAATGGTGAATTAAAGAGCCGACATCTTGTTGCGCTGAAAAATGATAGTAAAAATTTCATCGATGTGGCTGACGCAAACCCATTGAATTGTGCCATTTTCGATAATCGTTTCGATGAATTAAGTGAACTATCGCATGGAATTGTTAAAAGTGACGAACCACTGCGAAAATCGCATTTCAATCGGGGATTAGTGACGGCAGCGACAGCGGCGGCGGTGACAACGTTAAACAATCGCATCAAGGCCATCGATCAAGAGAAAAGTGCCGGCGAATCGATAAGTGCATTTAATTTAATTAGTGAATATTCCGCATCAAAACCCAAATCCAGTTCAAACCAAGCGTCCAGTGGAGTTCCGTCAACAAAAAGCAATAAATATCGAGATTTATCAAAATGCAGTGCATTGGCTAGAAAAGCGTCAGATCAATTTCTGCGTGACGATAGTGCAGGTGCAAGTGATATGGCTGGCTATTTACGGTCTGAAAGTATGTTTTCGTCGTCTTCGTGCGATTCATCAGCTTCATCATCGTCTTCGGATGGCAGCGATGCCGAAACCAATCGTTCAACATCACGAAGCAAATCAATCAAACGTAATTACGATGTATTGAATGGAAAAACGGTGAAAGGAAAAGAGGCACACAGCTCAATTTCCGTAAGTGGATCAAGTGATTGTGAAGATTTGCTATCGAATTCAACGCGTGAGCAACCGAGTTGTTCGTCGGCGCCGGAAGCATCCGACAGCGATGACAATTCAAGTTCCAAATTGATGGTGGCCGATCGGCGACCCAAATCAAAGGGCTTTTACAAAGTGTTTGTTGTGAATAAAAAAACTAGTTCATCCGACAGCGATTCGCAAAGCACCAATGTCAATAGCACAGATGATTCGAGTGATAATGACACCGACACTGAAAAAATTGTATTGAACTACATAAAGCCATTGCCAGAGAATGGCAGTGAGACGGTTAATTATAATTATATCGATGATACAACGACCGAAAGTTACGATGACATCGATCAAAACGATGAAATTGTACTGTGCTCTATCAAGCGGATCGATGACGATGACAACAGTATCGATCGCATTGTGCCGAAGTGTGAACAACCAAATACAATGGCTGAACCTGTGTTTTTGGGAAGCGAAACAAAGCAAAACGGTAACATTACGAGCGGCAGCAACAACACCAGTAGCGGCAACGGTGATGACGACGACCGAAGTTCTGAAGACGAGAACGAACAAACGGTGATTGAAAAAATGCCAATAGAAGAGAATTCATGTGAAACAGGCGAAAAGCACAAAGAAAATGCAATCGTGCATCAAAATGAACAAGTTGACCTTCATAATCAATCAACTGCGGCAGCAACAGCAGCAGCTGCAGCGGCAGCAGCCAATACGGATATCGTCGCCGGTGAGATACGTGTGAATATGGATGCCGATAGTGAACGCATTGCGGATACATTGCGAAGTCAAGCTCAACAAATGGTTCATGATTTATGTGAGTCCATTGAACAGAAATTGAATGATGAACATGTTCCATTCGATCAATTGTTATCGCAACAAACGGATGGTGAATCGGTCAAATGCAGGACGGTTGAATGGAATGCGAATGCTGAAGAACATTCCGAGAAAATGGAACAGATTCAACAACAGCAACAATTATTGTGTGTCCATAGACAAAACGATAGATCACACACACAAAATGAATCGGATGTTAAAAACTCCATGGCAACCATAAAAAGTTTAGAAACTGATCCAGTTTCCATGAATGGTTTTGTTTGCGAGCAAATGCAAAAACAAGATCAACACCAGCAACAGCAACCAGTGCATGGGATCCATGGTGTCGATGACATTTCAAGCACCAACAATAGGCTGAACGATATGAAAAGCGAACAAGAAATGGCATCGCATACAAAAACCGGAGCTATAACTCGAAATGCTGAAAGTACAAGCGAAATGCAGTCGACGACGGAATACGATGCCATGCACGATAAAATGCCAGGTAAAGTGGAATATTCAAATAAATCGCCTGAGAAAAATGCACTCAAATTAAATCCCATTGTCGTTAACATTTCAGACAAAAATCAAGAGACAAAACAAACGGTATTGATGCATGAGAATGACGATGAAACAACCGAAAATATTATAAAAAGTCACCAGTTGAGTTTGGCAGACGACGACGACGACGACGACGACGACAACGACGACGACGACGACGACGACGACAACGAAGCGAAAGTCGATACTATTAACACAACAACCAGTTTGAATGTGTTGAGCGACGTCGACCATGGCGGCAGCAGCAATAGCGCCAACGACAATGGTCGCAACAGCAACGAAACGTCATCCACAACGCCCAATTCATTAGAAAGTGCATCCGACCAACGCACACCACACACATTAACACAAACACATGCACAACCGCAACCAATGGCCACTAATGACTCTGGTAAACAAGCTGAGCAAAGAGTTGAGTGCATCGAAAGCCAATTCATCGGCGCAGAAACCAATCCATTGGAATTGTTTGAGCCGTACGATCATGCGTTTGATTTCCCCTCAACGGCACCGCAATCGGTCGCAACCAATACTAACGAGCATGTACCAGGTGTGCAAACAAATGAATGTTACGGTTTGTTTGACGACGCTCAGGTAGATCGTTACACAGACACTGGCAGTATAACACGATCAGCAGTTGAAAATGAACGTTTGAACAGTACGGATGGGCAGACAAGTGGAACGACGACAGCAACAACAACATCATCATCATCATCAGCAGCAGCAGCAGCAAAATATACAAGTTTAGTGATGATCACACAAGAAATTCGAGCGCCATTGGCAACATCAAATGTAAATATCGTCCCTACAGACACAACGCACATCGTATCCGATTCCGATTCCTCCGATTCCATCACCGTTCAGCACACAAATCGACTGTCCGACGATGAATACGAGCCAAATTCATTGGCTGGCTATTTTACGCGATCGCTTGAAGAAGACTCGTTGAATACATCGACGCCAACCATCAAACGACGACCCATTGTTACAAACCATTCGAGTGATTTTTATTACAGTGAGCATTTGCCAACATTTGAAAATGATTCATTCAACAGTTCAGTGTTTGATAGTGAAATGTTAAAATCGAGAAATTTCAGTGCGAATCAAATGGCAAATAACAACAGTAGTCGCAGTGGTGATGACAGTATTAATAATGATGATGTGACAGTGGTGACGGGCCAAAATACGTTATCGGCCGTGGTTTGTTTGGAAGATGGTTTGGCCGATGATGATTCGTGGATCGGGAGTGGTGATGATGAGGATTTTGCCGCAGCTACAGCAACCGATTCAGAAACTGAATATGCTGAAGATTTGGCTATGTGCTGTTCTTCATCGTCGGGCGATCGCGAAGAAGAACTTCGTGGCTATAATCGTACATCGATCGATTTTACATTGCATACGATAGTCGAAGAGAGTTGTGAAGAAAGTGAAGTTGAGGTCAATGATAGAAACAAGAATCGAATGTCGGCATCGGAACTGGAGAAATACTTTTTCTTTGGATTAGGCGATGGCAAATCATCGACTATGTCGAATGCAGACACGCGTGAAGACAGTATTTCGGAAACGAGCAGTTTGTGCAGTGAAGGGATGGATTCATTGGGTGGCGCTGAAAATGCCAATGTTGATGTTAATGCGATGGCTTCATCGCGTTTGGAAAAGTACTTTTTGTCCACATTCATGGGTTTTTCGTCGAATGAACGTGATCAAAACTCCGATGGCAGTGGCAGTGTTGGTAGTGATAGTGAAGGCCATGCAAGCCCGGAACAGCGTCGCAAACGGTTGGTTCGTGCCCGTGGCACACCACATCGATCTCACAATTCGTCTCTCGATAATTTATTGGCCACAAAAGATGACAATCACGATTCGATTGCATCGAACGAGAATCCATCGCTTGCCAATGAATCCAATGATTCGTCCGAAACAGATACATGCGATGACACTGTGATACATTTAGAGAAAGACGCAAATCCAAATGACACGCTGAAACGCAAAAAGCAAATCAAAAAGAAGAGCAGCGACAGTGAAGACAATAAAAAGTCAATTGGTGCGGTGTCGGATGAGGAGAGTGTTAGCGGTAAAAATTCATTGACACAAGAAGGTGGTTATTCGGCTCAATCGGTTGCCAATGGTGCAACGAAGAAGCAAAGTAGCCGTGACAGCGGTTTCATCGGTAGCAACGATGATTTGCTCAAAAATGATGATCCACACAAAAATGGTGCCGAAATGAAAATCGAATTGGAAGAAATCGAAGAAGAAACAAAAGAGAATGTGTCGCAACAAGCGAGTGGTAAGCAGCAAATGGCATCGCCATCCACATCATCATCGCTGGCACGCAAAGACAGTTTCAATAATTACAGTTCGGATGAAGAAACGAATCTCATGATGTCGAAATTGCGACAATTTGTTAAAACGCTCGTTGCATCGAATGCAAATGCACAACGAAATAGCACATCGAAATCATCGACACCCATAATGAGCGGAGCGAATACGCCCAAAAATGGCACACCCGTACCGAAGCCACGATCAAAAGCCAAACCGGCGCAACTCATCTATTTCGAAAATGAATTGACGCGTTTAATGAAAACGGTTCCCGGTATTAATGACGATCAAGTGCGTGAAATTGTGGAATATTTGAGTAGCGAAGAGACATGGTCGGATTCATATGATTCGTCAGATTACACGAGCTCCGATTTAGAAGGAGCGGCATCATCGACCAGCAAATCCGAGCTACAAGAACAAATATCGGCTAGTTGTCAGCAAATTATTAAGAAATTCGAAGGTTCGGTCGGTGATCATGAAGGCGATATCGGTGATGGTGGTTTATTCGATGATAAACAATGTTTGAATCGTGAAACAGCCTTGGTTTATCACAAACTAGTTTCCTCCTTTTCGAAGATAAACAACGAAAAGCAGCAAAAAGAATCGAATCATTCGCCGCCGATATTCGCAAAGGTGATGAGCCATATTGGAACAAGACTGGTCGCACTGATGCATGAAGTGAGCAGCAGTGAATCGCATGCAAGTCATACGTCGCCAAAGCCAAGCGCTCGATACCATAAAAAATTACAGCAAAAAATCTCGGCCACAACCACCGACGAAGATGAAGACGATCCAATGCACGCACCACATGACAATTTAATGGAAAATTCCGAAAGCTATTTAAATTTGCCGCGCAGTAAATCGCACGATTTACTATTGAGTGGCACTCGATTGCAGCATCATCAATCGAGCAGCGGTGTGAGTGACATAGCAGCCGAAGAAAAAGAGGCCAGTGACTACGAACGATTTTCATGGCGTGGTAGTTTTGAGTCAGCATTACTAGCGAATGGTGACTCAAGAACAAAATTAACCCTACTCGACCGTGACAATTCATCGTCTGCTTCCGCTTTAGCAGCAAAGCGTCGATCGGCAGGCGATTTATTATTCAATCAATGTAGTCTAAGCCGTGAACAATTGGATCGGGTGCGATCATGTGGCAGTATTGGTGGTGCTGGCGCTGGTTCAACCGATGCCGTCAACAGCATTGAATCATCGAAACTGTGGGGATCGGAAAATAATAATCAACGAACTTCATCGAGCCATCATCATCATAAGCGGCCAACATTTCCCGACTCCGATGAAGAATCATCGGAAGAAGAACGACGCCATCATATTATGGGCAATCGTTCAACGTTGCCACGCAGTTTGCAACAAACAGCAACCGCATCTCTGTCTAGTACAAACTCACTTCCACGTTCCACCACGCAAAATGCACAATTGTCGTCGCAAAAGTCACAAAGTGTCCATCAATTTTTGCAAAACAGTGTAAAAAGTGCGCGCTATCGTCCGCCCGGTTTTTCGCGGTTAACATCAACACCGAAAAAAGCCAATTCGTCTCTGGGATTACCGTCATTATACACGAAACGAGATAGTTCTTCACGAACCCGCCGAATTCAATCACTTTACAGCGGTAAGCATACACCAATTTTCAATCATTTTTCAATTTCTCGTTGAATCGAGAGCATCGAAAAAAAATTACTTTTTAACAACGTGCGCCGTTGCCAATTTTTAACCCAAACTAACGTCATTTAAATGAACATGAGAGAGCGACGAAGAACCAATAAAAAAACAAACAGAAGCGCGAGAACATCGTGAGACGATGAATTGGGAGTCAAATCAATACTTCACTTCGAGAAAATTAAAAATCAATTTTTCGGTTGCAACAAAATTTACTCGTTTTCGAGAAATGTTGAAATTGAACAGCAACAGCAGCAAAAATACACACACCAAAGATTCAACTTTTACCATCGCATCGCAGTGGCAACAGCAACAGCGACCGATATTAGGTTTTTATCTGCTGTATATATGTCGGTTCTTTGTTCAATGCTCATAAAACATAATGATTGTTGTCAGCGCATTTTTTTTCTGTGTTCGTTGTACTTTTTTCATTCTCTCTGCGCTTCAAATCCATGGCATTGGTCCGAGAAAAAAAAACGACAATGCTCTTGGTCGTATTTTTGTTATTTCCACGCGGTTGTACGTGGGGCATTGCGCTTCGTGTAATGCATGGATGATTTTGCTAGCATTCCAAAATAAATGAAGAAGAAGGCCAGTGCTATAAAATACGTTCATTTTTTTCTGTTCGTTCCCTCTATCTGTTCTGTGTTGTGATCTCTTTTCACATAGAACGAAGAAAAAAAAAAAAAAACACACACACACAGTAGCGTAACAAAAGCGTCTTTCCAGTGTTTACTTTTCGGAAAAATCAGAATGAAAAACAACGTAGAATGACCATTAGAAATACAACATGCTGTGAGAATCGCTCGTTCATTTCTCGAAAAAGAGACGAAAAAATAAATTCGAAAGTTGTAGCGAAAAAAAATGAACGGAGCACAAATTCGCAACGAAAACATTATGAGCTACTGAAAAATTCACAGATAAATTCCGAGCACACAAAATTGGAACGCTTGAGTCGAAAGCGCGATATATTTCAGCATGGTTTATATATATGTATATGTATATATGTTGTATCTGTGTGTACAAACTTACCTTAAGTGGTCACTATTCGCCTATATCTTGTTCGTTGCCAATGTATTTGTTTCGCTTTTGAACGAAAAAAAGCCATAAACACATTTATATTAGTTGTAGCAGAAGAGAGTCATGGTATTTCTTCTTTTTCTTTTTCTTCCTCTCGTTTCGATCAAGTTCCGTATGTAAACAGTGTGTGGCAAACCGTTCGCAAAACCCACATGCAGCGTGCGTAAGATAATGGGTTCGGTATGTATGTGTGTGTGTCTGTATTGTGCGTCAGCGAAAGTCGTTGGCATCATCCAATTACATGAGTTTGTACGGAACGCTTGTCGTACATTGATGTTTGCTAGCTACATAATAATGAAACAGAAACAAAAAATAATGCGGTGTTGTTTTGTTGGTTAGTTTTTTTGTTTGGAGCGCGCTCGTTCGCACAATTCAATGTGCGTGTATAGTTTGCATTCGTTGGTGGTGATGGTGATGGTGATGGTGCTGCTGTTTTGGTGAACAACCGTGTATCTTTATTCGACCATCAAGCATCGTAGCAATAATAATTTATGACATTGTCATGGTCCGAACCAACTGTAGCAGCAATCAAACCAATCTCTTGACTGCTACAAGCTTTATGCTATTCTCGACACCCAGAAGTAGCAGCATCATCTTCATCGCCCGGGTCCCTCCCGAAAATAAATATTAAACGGGAAATCGATCTAAATCCTTTGAAATGTTTTGCCATTTGCTTTTTTACGACCACACTGACAACACGTAATTTCCGCCAAATTTTGTTCATTGAATGAAACGACAGAAACAACTAAAACCTTAGTGATAAATTTTGCGCGTACCACAAACCAATTTCACCTCACATTCCAGAAGCTGTGCTTTGAACTGAATCCTTTCACGCTCGACAACGACCACAAAGAAAAAAAAAACAACAACATCATCGTACAACTTCTTTTCCGCCTTCTAATGGCACATTTCTGATGACACATCGGGTGAAAGCATCGTAATACACCCCAGAATAAAAAAAAAACCCAGAGCATTTATTTCCACCTAAATTTGTGTTTAGCAAAAGAGTGTGTATGTGACGTTTTGTACAAGTTTATAGATGAATTGTGCGGAGAATTGGATGAGAAAACCACGAAACAGTGCTTAACTTTATTGCATACGCATTTTATTGAGTCGATCATGTCGTTCGCGTCATATTGTCACGCCAGCTACTATAAAAATTTATCGCATTCATAGAGTCAAGACCAAGAGCTAAGCTCACACACATATATAAAAACCGATATTAATTTCGCAAGAATGTGAACTATGCTCATAAAACCGATTTCTGGGTTTTTGAAGGTTTCTCATTAAATCGTTCCACGGAGTTACGCAAAAAAAGCGCGCGCTCCAAAAGCAAAGCACCTAAGAATGTAATTTGGACATCAAAACACATTTCACCACACACACTTAATAATACACAAATATTTGTCAGGCAATTGATTGCCTTAAATAAATTCGGCTAATAATTGCATAAAATTTACTTTGGAGGTTTTTGTTCGTTCACTTTATTTCAGGCACTTCATCTTTTTTTTGTTATTGAAGCGTGGGTAATTAGCTAGAGAGTCGCTATTCACGTAAAAGAAGAAGAAGAAAAATATGTAACGGTGAACATGACTTGAAAACATAGCAATTAAAAGCATTGCTAACAAAGACCCCAGCTAATAAAATTGTTGCACTGACAACAAACACACTCTCGAAACAAACGAAACATACACGCAACTCGCTTCTAGGCTTTCTTTTTTTCGCACTAAGACTCGCTTTGCCGAGGGGATTTAGCATGGAATTTATTTAATTTTTTATAATTTTGATGTACATTTTCAATGGAAAATTGTTTAAATGCCTTGCTCTTTGATCGTTTCTTGTGTGGTTCGTCTTCGCTTCTATTACGCGTTTACATGGCGATTTCACTCTCGAATGGGAATTTATGTGAACGATGTGCGACGGCAACATCAACGGCAGTCGCGCTGAATTCGCAGACTTTCAACAGCAAATATCGTTCTATTTGCTGCTGTTGTTGTAGTTGTTGCCGTAGCTCATATGCTAGCTAATAGCAATAGACATATCCAGAGCACGAGAGAACCATTTGTGTTTTGTGCACAGAAGATTGCCTTTTATTTACCACAATATTGACGTCTGCCTCTTGTTGCTAATGCTAGTGCTGTTGTTGCCGTTAATGTTGCTGTTGTTGTTTCTGATGCTTCTCTCTGTGTGTGCTTTTTTCTTCGCTTCATTCTTTTGTAACTCTCTCAATCTTTCTTTTACACACTTGAATCAAACGTGTGTGCGCTCAAGCTCGAGCCCTCGTTCCATATAAAACCATTCCATTGACTTGATGAAAAAAAAATCGCTCATCTCTTGTTGCGGGAAGAAATTGTTCGGATTGCGATAGAGACGATCGATTTTATATTTGAACATGTTCAAAAACCATGCAAAACAACAACCATTCACATCGAAAGTGTTCGATATTCCAGACACGATTTAATTAATTGATATGAAAAAAGTCGAGAGAGAGAGAGAGAGAGAAGTATAAACGATTATTAAACTTTTGAGCTCTTTTATTACGTTTTTATATGCATTACGTTTGCGGCGTGTATATGTGCTTTCGATGAGAATGAATTGAATGAAGGCAGCACAGTGAAAGAGCAGTGTAACGGTTTCTGCAGCAGCCGATTCAAAAGAACTGAACGTCATTTCTATGTTATTTTACTTTCTATCATTTGTTCACGCTTACGTATGTTTTATCTTTATTTTCTATTTTCTGTTGAAAACTAAGTTTACATATTCAAATTTTCGAGTGGAGTCGAAGCAGCCGCCTGTTCAACGAATGAATGATTTTTAATTAAAAATGACGATCGAACGGTAAAATGCCATTCACGAAACAAAACAAAAAACCACATTTGAAATCGATACATCCACCGCATAGTCTAGGTGGACTAATTTGGAACGATGCCAAAGTCGTCTATAGCACAGAATGATCGAGAGATAAATGCTTTTCAATCAATATAAAGAAAACATCGTAGTAAACAATGGAAAAAAAAGTCGCGATTTTTTTCTCAATCTCCAGTTTGTTTTAGAACATTTCCCACGCGAAATATTACTTATTCATCCTGTGATTGTAAATTACAGCGTTCCGTTTCGTAAACGGGCATTTTTTTCTTATCTCGATTTTTATTTTTCGCACAAAAACTGCTTGTTCATAGCAAAATTGAATTGGAACCCATCAATCAAGCATATATACTTAACCGAGCGACTCATCGCTTAGAATCCAAATCATTCGATCGCATGTAATGATTTAAATTAGCAACTTTAAGACACAACATACTCTCACACACACAGCCCGCTTCGTCAATATTTCGACATTTTTATATATAACCGAAGGAGATAGAGAGAACTCAATTCATCATTGATATATTCAAAATTTAAAAGAAGGTGTTTTGTTGGAAATGTTGCAATAATAATGGCACGACTAGCGACATATAATCCAATTGTGTCAAATGAGAAACAAGCCAAAGCCACAGACACCAAAAACCAACGGATTTCAGCCGAAGCGTTAGCGTTTCACATTCACCTCGCTCAACCGTTTCGGCTCCCTTGCTGTGTATTTGTATGTGACTGTCTCTTTTTTTCAGTTAAGTTCGCGTAAAACAATACGATTGCTTGTTTATTTTCGAATGGAATTGGCAAAAGCGAAACGTAAGCAACTATTTTCAGCCGTGGTCGTCGCAATGCATAATGCTGGCTCCGCATGACGTCAATACATAAGCGAACGAGCGTTCGTTAGTGTTTTGCGATTGCGATTTTTGACTGGTGCGCACCGCGAACCAAATGAAGAATGATTTATTCTGGAATTTTATCGGTTTTTGCATCGGTGGTTCGGTTTAAAATTGGAACATT